TTTTTAACATTTTAAAGTAAAATGCTTCAATCTGGTGCACTTTGAGCGCCCAATTAGAGACTGATCTAGGGGATACTACTCTAAAACACCCATATGAAAAAGATCGGTTTGCATTTTATTAATCAAATAAGTATGTGAACATTTCCAATAACCTACCATAGCCAATAACAAATAAATGTAACTTATTTTATTTGTGTTGTTCATTCATATCTTATTTTATCAGTTAACATTTATTTATTTATGCATATTTTTAAATCTCTCCAGTTTTAAACGATATTTTTGGTTTACTGTCCTATAGTATACATTGGAATGATTTCAAACCTGTTTTTATTTATCCTAATAATTATAAAGGTGTGCCTTGGAAATATTTGTTTACATAAACTGTGATCAAAACGTTTGAGACTCACTGAGATAACTTAGACTAAAGTGAACTATCTAAACACTCAGAGTCCTTTACCTCACTGAGCCTCTCAGTCTGACAGGACAGAGCTCTCCCTCCACATTATTGTAGAAACAGCTTCTTATATCCGTTAGCGCAGCAGAAGCTAACAACAATCCCCGCCGGTACCGGTACCGCGGTATCCCCTCTCTCTATCTCTCTCACTTTGGCTGTGAGCTGCGGGCGCCTGCTAAGCCAACATCCCCCACATTCATCACTACAGCGCCCATCGTACAGGGCAAATGGAAAATGTAACCGGGGTGAAAAGGGTGTTATCTTTACTTAATTAGGAATGTTGTTACATCAAGGCTGAACATTCTTTATTTTTGCATTATATCTTGTGGAAGTGCAGATCCCCTGTCCTCCACCAGGGGGTGCTGCAGCACCCTCAGCACCCCTACTTCCCACGGCCATGAATACATGTTACTAATCCTTACAGTATAAGTGTAAGGATTACACTTACACTTACAGTCATTGCTTTCTGGCGGACGTGACCCTTTTACAGGTTGCATAGGGAAAATTAGTAGCAGTCTACTGCCATGCTACTCAGTTCACTTTCTACTCAGTTCCGGTTTCCTGTCTAACCTTCAGTAGGCCTACATATTTTACAAACATATAAATGTGCAAATAATAATAATAATAATAATTTCAATTTATATAGCGCCTTTCACGAAACACAAGGACGCTTTACAATGGGAAGTAACAAAACAAAACAAAAAGTAATAATAATCATACAGATACATAGGCTGAAGAAAACAAAACAGGAACAGGTTGCTGAGTACTGTATATTAGTTGAGGCCAAAGGCCTGAGTGAACAGATGGTGTTTGAGGTGTTTTTTGAAGGTGTCCAGAGAGTCTGCATTCCTGATTGCAGAGGGGAGAGAATTCCAGAGGGTGGGGGCTGCGACACTAAAGGCTCTGTTGCCAAATGTTTTCAGCTTGNGTTTTAAAGAGTACCTGACCTCCCTTTATATTAATAGAACAATAATGTCATTGTTAGCTAATGAATGTTTCCATGCTGAACAACGGCAACATGACAACGTTTTCATTGGTCCCTCTTCTTTAGAGAAGACCAGGAAATGATGGATACACGGATCGTGTTCAAATCAATAGGCACGCAATGACTCTAAATAATAATGATCACGCCACCAAACACACATTCAGACTAAAGGAACCAGCCTGTTTGGAAAATGAGAGAAGTAGAAAGTACAGGTATTTGTGTTCAACATGTAAGAAGTAGAAAGTACAGGTATTTGGGTTCAACATGTAAGAAGTAGAAAGTACAGGTATTTGAGTTCAACATGTAAGAAGTAGAAAGTACAGGTATTTGGGTTCAACATGTAAGAAGTAGAAAGTACAGGTATTTGTGTTCAAAATGTAAGAAGTAGAAAGTACAGGTATTTGTGTTCAAAATGTAAGAAGTAGAAAGTAAAAAGTCGTCAGAAAAACAAGTAGTGGAGTAAAATACTGATACCAGAAAATGTAAGTACGTGGCAAAGTATTTGTACTCCACTACTTCCCACCTCTGGTCGAAATGAATAAAGCTTCCAGGGACATGGCATTGACAGTAAGGGTGTGATGGGCTCAGAAAAGCCCATCAGGTCAATGTGGGTTTATCCAGTATCGGCATGGAATTACTGTGGTGGATTTAGCACTTACTAACTTCTCCTTTCACTCTTATTCACTCAGACTTGTTTGCTTACACTGCACTGCTCATAAATCCCGCTGACAGCTTCACAGTTTTTTAACCCTTTCTCTTTATGCTGACACATGCAAGCCTAGCGCTCTGTTGCTAACGTGCTATCTCTTTTTATAACTCATGCTGGCGTTCAGGAGGAGGCTGGGTCACCAGTTGACAGTAAACAGGAGGTACTTGGTGTCTGGTGATTTGGTCTCTGTCTGTCAACCTGTCTTTACTCATCCATCATTATGTAGAAATGTGTTATTGTGTAAGTGGTGATGCAAAAGTCGTGTCTGGGCGAACTGTCATAGCTAAGCATCCCAGCAAACATTTGACTGGCAGTGATATGTACAGTTAGGAAAATTGAAGTAACATGAAATGCTCAAAAATCTTTAAAACCAGTTGAAACCAATATAAGTTTGTATTTGTGTTATGATAAATAAACCTCCAGTTTTATATTAAAGTTATAATAATGATGATTATCAGATCAATTTCTATTGTCTGATCTAAATCAGTCTGTCTCCTGTGATGACGAAAGAAGACAGGTTTTGTCAGGATGAACTAAAGTAGATTTTTCTTTTTCATCTGGAGAACAGGTGAGAAAAAAAGAAGTGCTAGTGAAAACATTTTTTTGTTTTTGGAGTTCTGAGATTAAAGTCAGAAATCTGAGAAAATCAGAACTAAAGTAAAAAAATGTGGTAACTGTTAGAATAAAGACTGAGTGGTTTACTTTGGGTTTTCTTGTAGTACAAAGGTTGTCCTGAAGAAGCTGAAGTGCCCCCATAACCCAGGTTTTTTTGGACTAAAAGCATTCATGTTCCTTCCTTTCTCCATGCACTCTAAACACAAAGTGCATACATTTCTTCACCTGGAAGAAAACATCTTAGTCCTATTTTTTCACCATAAGTCAGAATCTTTGACTTCAATTTCAGAATTGAAAAGGAAAAATATCACTTTGGTCCAATCCAAAAAACAAAACCACGTGGCCCTAAACCTCTTCCAGTAGCTTCTCACCTGTTGCGAAAAATGATTTAGGGAAATCATCTATTCCAAAATGTTTACTGGGATGTGTTTCTAAATGTCTCTCGGCATGGCCACATCTTGTCTGTCTGTCTGTCTGTCTGTCTGTGTGTCTGTCTGTCTGTCTGTCTGTCTGTGTGTCTGTCTGTCTGTCTGTCTGTGTGTGTGTGTGTGTCTGTCTGTCTGTCTGTCTGTGTGTCTGTCTGTCTGTATGTCTGTCTGTCTATGTGTGTGTCTGTCTGTGTGTGTCTGTCTGTCTGTGTGTCTGTCTGTCTGTGTGTCTGTCTGTCTGTCTGTCTGTGTGTGTCTGTCTGTCTGTGTGTCTGTCTGTGTGTCTGTCTGTCTGTCTGTGTGTCTGTCTGTCTGTCTGTCTGTCTGTCTGTCTGTCTGTCTGTCTGTCTGTGTCTGTCTGTCTGTCTGTCTGTCCGTCCGTCTTCTTTATGACTGAACTTCTACCATCCTGTGTCTGCATCTGAACCTTGTTCCTGCACTTTCTGACCCCTCACTCTCCACCTCTTGTTCTCGCACCACCTCCTGCCCCAACTCAGCTTTCTCAGTTGGATCAGGAGTCCACTCCTCGGCACAAACAGGAGGTACAGGTTCCTGTCTTTAGACCCTGCTTTTTTTTGGAGATTTTTACAGATTCATTTTTTGCCTGCATCAAAATAAATGTGAATTATACAACATTGGTCCTCTTTGAGCATACGTTCAGGTATCTACTTTGACAGTCTCCGGGTGAAATACCTCTCTATTTTTAGAACAGAGAGAACGTCCTTAATTTAAAATCCTACACAAGTACAGGAAAATTATCTACTTGAAATACAATGATGTTCAGTGTAGATCTATGCAACCTCTAAGCACCACTTGAACTTTTAAAACGGAGCTGAACATTAGCATTCAACATATCTGGTAGAAAACTGTCCAACCAAGGACACGGAGAGTATTAGTTTAAATGAATTCATTTTGAATTAATATGAACTAGTCATACACATTGGATAAATCGCATCAGTTTTGGACATGAGGAGAAGGTTATTATTAGATATCAGTATTGGCTAAAAAAAAACATACTGTGCATCCCTATTGTGCAACAATAGATGTTACATATTCATTTATGAATCCATCTACTTGCCTTGGTTGATTTATTTTAGCTTCAGTAGCATCTGAAATGTCAATGCTCTCCATGGGCCACAGCTCAGAGTCGTAAAACACCAGCTTTAGTTAACATGAGTGTAAGCGTTCACATTGCATCTTCTTCCTCAGTGCTCTCTCATGTCTTGTTCAGTCATGCATATCATATGTTGATGTGAGTCCTGCTGGTGAAAGGATGTCGACGTTTTGCTAATGCATTCCTCGCTTCTTCTTTTTTTTCCCCCTCCTGTTGCAATTTCTCCTCCAGTTTCTGGATAAGTCGAAGGATGTTTTGCTGAAGCACCAGGCGAGCATCAACGAGCTGAAGAAGGCCCTGAAGGAGCCCAACAGCAAGCTGTCGGTCCGCGAGAAACGTCTGTCGGGAACCTCCCCGACCGGCACGCCGGAGAGGAAGGCTGTGAGTAGAATAAAGGGGGAGGGGGGGCTTTGCGATGGTTAATATCTCAAGTCCAGTAAACTCTGATGCTTGACATTACATTAAAGGGCATTCACTTTCCCATATGGCCGCTGTCCTGTTGAATTGAGCTTTTGAATGCCTCAATCGAAGCAAAACCGGGCATATTACGTGAGAAGCCTGATATGGTTGATACATTTCTGATCAGTGTGCGGAAGTCTTCGTAGGTGGGATGGTTCAAACACTACTGGGCTTTCATTAAGGAGGCCAATGTCTGTGTCTAGTGTCAATTCAAAACATACTCAACTTTGACTTTTGTCATTTTGCATCCATTTTACTCAAATTACCTAATAAACACACTTATTTCTAGCCGAACCATGATCTTTTACTAAACCTAACTACTAGTGTTGTTGTTTTCTTTCAATTTACGGCATTGCCAAGGTAGTTTAGGAGAAAAATTAATTTCCCCCAGAACATGATTGAGAATGCACTGTAGTTGTACGGTAACGTATATTTTTAGAAAGGGTTGTAAACTTTATTGAAAAGTAAGCTCTTTTCATTTATGAATAATTGATCCAGAGTAGACTGAATAATTCAAGCCAGAAGATATGCTGTGTGATTAGTGAAGGTATTTATGGCTATTCCTTTTCCTAGAGGCAGTTAAAACGTGCATCCCCTTCCCAAAGAAACTGCTACTCACAGAAACAAGAAAAGTGTATAATGAAGTGCATCTCCCTGGTGGCCCTAATAATTCTGACAGTAGCTCAGAGGTACTTGAAGATGACTGACGGGCAGCACAGCAGGAGGCATCTTGATGAGATTAGATGTTTTTTTAAGATGTACCCAATGTGAGGCACTTGAGACATAATTATCAGTTATCTTTTTTTGTTTTCCTTGATTGCCCTGACAGGGACACAGTCTTTCTGTATGCCAGATCACAAAAGCTCTCAACTTTTTGGGTAATTAGGCTTTTGAAGGAAGAGCCCGGAGATTTTAGACGTTCAAATAGGATGGTTTTGTTTTTGTCAGTGACTAAATTGTCTTCAAGCAATCTCCCATCTGCTGTCTCGGAAAATCGGATTATGCCCATACAATGTCAAATGTTGTCTGCGGCAGAAAATGTAATTTGCACAGTGTCTTATTCGAGGTATTATTCAGTTAGACTGACAGTCGAAGGCGGGGAAAGTCGCTGTGCTCTGAGATTCAGTTGAACTCAACCCTTTGGTGTAGTAACAGATATTTGCATTGCAAATTTGGTTTTGTGGATTTGGTGGCTGTCAGCTCGTCTGGATTACATCTTTTCAGTTTGAAGTTCATTAGAAGGTTTCTACAGAATTACTTAAAGAGACAGTTAAATAAAACATATACATTATTCCAATTACCGGTAGTGCTATCATTCAATCTAGATTGTTTTTGTGTGAGTTGAAGAAATCATGACTCGGAAACTCAAGATTATCCTCAAACTATGGTGTGAACAGTTTGTGGGAATGTAGGAACTGTTTTCTTTCCAACTATCTACCTCTACCAACTGTATCACCAAACAAAAGCTTGCATCTTCTCATTTGTTGGTGGGTGTAGTTTGGTAGGAATAAAATAGTTCCTACATGCTCTCAACATGGTTTATTACCTTAAGTACTTGGATTTCTAAAATACATTGTCATTGAGTATTCCAAAGCCTAGTGCGATCTTCCATTTTGTTGGAAAGAAGGAAGACTTCTCTACGTCCGATATCTTCAACAGTTGGCAACTCACACCCAAACAATCTCAATTTATGAATAGCGAATCCGGTAAGAGGCAACATAATTATTTTAGATTAAAAGATGAACTGTCCCTTTTAAAACCTATTAGCACTGATCCTTTCCAACTTTCCCATGTTCTCGTTCTTGCATGAAATTGTCTACTGTGAGTCTTACTAATTGACTTCCTCATTTCGAGTTTTAGCTCTAACAGCTTTTCTCCCTTTCCTTTAACTCTCTCCTCTGCCTCGTGTCGGCCAGTCGGCGGTCCGAGCAGTGGGGAAGGACCCTGTTAACAGCCTGTCTGTTGAGGGTTTCGTCCAGAAGACGGTGGTGACTTCACCTGAGGTTACATATCTCTCACTCTTTCTGTTTCATGTTGTTTATGGCATTTGTGGATTGGTGAAATGCACTGCCTTGTGTGCATCATTATCATTCATATGTCTATCATATTTGAAAGTGACACTGCCGGCAAAGACATTGTGTTTAATGATCTGGTGATTTTAGACATTTTAGATTTGACTTTACTTCAGTAACATGTCTTCTTTCAGAAAGGAAAGAAAACATGCAAAATACTAATTTAGGTCTTGTATATTTGCTTCTGTACATTTCTCCTCAACCTACCAAAAGTTGGATATTTAAAACCTTTAATACAAAACATTGTTTGGAACGATTCACGGTTTTTGTGTCCATCCATCATTCATATTCAGATTTTTATAAAAGGTTTTTCCTAAAAACATTGTGCAGAGGAATGTTCCATGACAACATGTTATAGATGTATCCTCTGACTCCACATGTCAACAAAATGAAACAAGAATTTTGAACCTGGCTTAATCAAATGTTCAGATTCACATTAGCTCATATGTAATGCCTGAATTGCATATTTAAAACACAATTTGAGAAACCACTCAAACACAACACATAATTGCATTTTGTAGGCGATTAACCGGGGAAGTATACGTGTTATAGTTAAACCCTATTCACTTGGGGTATCTTTCCTTAAGAATAAATCCCTACATGCAATTTCATGATCATCGAACCTTCCCATTGTAGCAGTTGAATATTGTGTTCCCTTTTCTGTGATTCAAATGATTGCGTAGGTTTAATTATTTGCAGCAGCTGTGCTTGGCATGTCTAACTGTTTTTAATCTATACCAACATGTAGGGCTCTGAGGAGTGGGTATTGATTGAAAAACAAGAAACTTATCTTCAGGACCAAGACTGGAAGGCAGAAGAAATGAACAAATTGGATTCTTCATGGGAGAAAGAAGAGCTGGAAAAAGAAATAGACATAACCAAGATGATAAATAAGGAGGTAACAGGGTATGACAGCAAAGAAATGAAAAGCCATATTGATGAATTTTCATCAACCAAAGAGGCAGAGGAGTGCTCTGAGCCACGGCCGACTAACAAAAGTCGTTTTATGGTTCAATTATCTGAAAATGCAGACTTGAATCTTGACAAATCTCAAAGTAAACTATCTCAAGACTCCGACCCAGATGCAAACGATGATTTGGCCCCGGGCTCACAGCAGATGAAAGACCGTACAGCTTCGAAACCAAGGAAAAAGAGGAGACCCCAGAGCTTAAACCTGGGTATGCCTCCCGAGCTCATTTACGGGAAAGAAAGCAGTGACTCTACTGACGAAGACAATAACGGCTCAGACTTGGACCTCAGTCCAGAAAAAAAAACAAAAGCCGGAAATCATTGCGACCTATCGCCAGTGGAGATGGTGAAGGATGATCAAGGATCAGAAAAAGATGAGTCTTTCGGGGTCTACAAAGACGACCAAGAAGATATATCATTAGAGAGTGAAAACATGGAGGTAGAAGCAGAGCAGGTAAAGAGGAAAGTGAGTCAGGTTGGGCCAGCTGATATCGATATGGTGAATGGACCCGGAAAGATGGAGCATGATAGTTCAGTAGCAGCTGTTAAAGGGGAGTGTGGGATGAAGTCGCGAGGCCGGGGTCTTATTGACAACAAAGATCTAGCTGAGGTAAAGCTGCGACAGGTCAGGACGCATGAGAGGAAGATCAGTAGTTCTGGGGGAGAGGATATTGAGGGTTTATTGGGAGATAGAAGCCAGAGAACGTCTCTCCAACGACTGTCAGGCAGCAGCTTTCAGTCAGAAATCACCAGGATTGTTCCTCTTAAGCCGGAGCGATCAAAGAGTGTAGCGTGTAAGGACGAAAGGGGCTGGGAAGAGCCCACGGGACTCGTCAGAAGGGAATACCGCTGGTCGGTGGGTTCTCCGGAGGCGTCCTCGGACCTCTCCTGGACAGACTCGGCTGCCTTTCATCCATCTTTTGCAGCAGATCTGGAGGGAATCACTAGAGCAGAATATCCTGATGACAGCTATCAGTTTGCTAGAGGACCGACGGAGAGTCAGTCGTTCTGCTCAAAGATTTCAGCGCTTCACAAAATGGCTCCCCCGGCCCCGCCAGTAAAAACACAGAAGGCCCGAGAATCTGGACTCATACTGCGGAACAGCCGAAACCCTGGCAGGGAGCCGAGTCTGGACGCAGCCAAGAAGAGACACTCGGTAACTCTGCTTGGCATCTGCTATTCAGTCATTGGAAATTAAAGCATCGCATGAGCTTCAGACAGACTCGCACGCCATTTTTATTTTTTTTCTGCGTTTTCAGTGACTTGAACTCATCCATCTTACTTCTTACGGAGCGGCACTTCTGCTCTGTCTTATTGCAAAATCTGTCAAAAAAGTTTTCCCAATTTCTCCCTTCTCATTGCCCCCAACATGCACCACACTGTCTGGCAAATCTCTACAGCTCACCTCAGTTTGATTACTGGCTGTGAAATTTAACAAAACAAAAAGATACAAAAATCAATACCTCATGTTTTGGTTGTTGGTTCGTCTTCACCTTCTCTAACTTGTGAGCCTCAGATTTCTTTCCGGCTCACATTGTTGTTTGTCAGAGGGTGGCAAAGAAAGAAAGGCGTACATATTATCATCGCTCCGATGATTTTCAAACTGGAAATACAAAAACAAACGATTTATGGCATACTAATTTGAGAAAGAAAGGGGTGAAAGTGCTGCCATTTCTTTGAGACAGACAGCTATTATTTCACAAAATTGGATATAAATAGAGTATAGAATTGGTTTATGCATAAATAATTTAGAAACTGATAAACTTGCATGACCAGGCTTTAAAGAATATCTCTCCCTCCTTCTGATTGGTGATGATAAAGCATAAAACAGATGCAAAACCCCCCTCTGGATATGAAAGTAAGCGCTGATGTAAATACACTGGTTCCTCCCCAGCAGGCAGTGAGCAGCTCAGTGCCTGACACAGTCAGATTTGCTGCTTTCATTTCACTGTTGGTATCATTAGGAGCTTGCACGCTTTTGACACCAGAATGAAAGGAATTTGAAGTGAATAGACATGACAGCTTTCATCATTTCCCGCCTTTTCATCTGAGTCAAGCTCTTGCATATATTGGATTAAACAAGCATGAGAAGAGTTGTTGCGTAGCTCTCGGTTTGCAACCTCACTGGCGACTGACAATCATATCAAGATCAGATTGAAGTCGGGAGTGTGGGAAAATATGATATGCTCCTCCAGACTTGTGGACCCATTCAAACAGTCATTTTGGCAGGCTTTGAAATGCACCCCGGCACCTTTTTATTGGACTTTTAACTATTTTATTTGATAATATTTGAATGCTCCCTTTTTTAAATTCAAGGTGCGTAGTGTTGCAACACTTGGCTGCTGCTATGCTGGAAACTTGCTCATTATACAGACTGCATGTTTCTCTTCTCTGCTAAATCTAACTAATAAACTTGGCTGTGGATGTTGTTGTTGTTGTTGTTGTTGTAGCAAGCTCACCTCTTTTGTGTCCTCTATTGCTGTTTGTTATGTAGAGTATTGCCTGAAATTTGTGCTGACATCCATTGGGACCTGACTGGATCTGAACAGACTCAGTTGGCTATGATTGGGTCTGGCTGAATTCCTCACCTAAACTTGGGTTTGAGTCAGTTTAAAATACATAATTAGCTGTTTTTGTATTTGTAGCTATATTAAAGTTAAACAATACATACGTTTGCCCTCACTTTAAATGCTATGTATTAATCCGAACTGTTTGGGTGTGAGTTGCTGAGTGTTGAAGATATCTGCTATATAAATATGTTTCTTCTCTCAAATATGATGAAACTAGATGACACTTGGCTTGTTGTGAACAAAGCTTTACAACAATGTCTTTTTTCATAAGTCAATACTAAAGATATCCCTAGACCTAGTTGTGAGCAGTTTAAAGAAGGATACATCTTACTTGCAGAAGGACCCTCTCATCTAGCTATAGCTGCTAGCTATCGTCTGCTAGCTATCGTCTGCTAGCTATTGTTGGCTAGCTATCGTCTGCTAACTAGTGTTGGCTAGCTATTGTCTGCTAGCTATCGTCTCCTAACTAGTGTTGGCTAGCTATTGTTGGCTAGCTATCGTCTGCTAACTAGTGTTGGCTAGCTATTGTCTGCTAGCTATTGTCTGCTAGTTAATGTCAGCTAGCTATTGTCTGCTAGCTATTGTCTGTTAGCTATTGTCTGAAAGCCAATGTCTACTAGCCAATGTCTGCTAGCTATTGTCTGCTAGCCAATGTCTACTTGCCAATGTCTGCTCTTTTCAGTTAGCTGTAAACAAAAATAGTTCCTGCATGAAACTGCTCAAAAACAGTTTATGGATTTTCTTTAGTAACCAAGTCATACGTTTGGGAAAACAGACATTGCTATTTAGTTTTTCTATGTATTTTCTTTGTGCTAAAAGAATCACAAGCTGAGTGCCATATAGTTCCTATGTATTCAAGAGAAGGCAGATATCTTTACAGACAATATGTCAATATGCAGCAGCTCACACCAAAGCATACTACATTGATAAATAGCACCACAGATAAGAGGAAACATGTTTTCTAAACGTGAAAATGTGCAGACTAACTGACCAGTACCCCCAGTTTAGGTTGGGACTGAACAATCTTACCATATTTTCAGGATCCAGTCAAGCTCTGCTTTTCAGATTTGTGTGTGTGTTGTGGCCTCTCTCAGTTCACTGACCACTTCAGCTTGTGCTAACCTTCAGATGCTCTCTCTGCTCTTTCCTCTGCTTCCCCCTGCAGGAGCCCGTCTCTACTCCTGCCATTTATGAAGAGCCGTTTGCTGATTTCAAGGTTATTCATCCACCTTCATCATGCCTCACCCATCTTCTCTTTTCCTTTCTGCATCCCTTACGGCTAAACTGCTTCCCTCCCTATAACTGAACGACCAGTTTCTACTGATAAATAAAACATAGCCCGAAGCCATACAGATTGACATTTGTTATGGTCACTGGCTACTCAGCTGCAGTCATCCATCATCTTGAGTTGGAATTGAATGTGTGGGTGGAAAACAAAATCCCTTATGCTTGTCTATTGCAGACATGATCCAGTTTTAACTGTGATGTAATTAGCTCGTGTGTGTAATTAATGAGTGGCATTACTTACATGAGGGGCCTAAGGAGTTTCATTATAATCAAACGGTTTCCCTCCTCTTTGGATCCTGACCCCTTAAAACAGAGCGGTTTCATTTCAGATCTCGTGCCACGTGTTGAATGCCAGTACTTTATTTTTGTTTTATTTGAATGCTTGGTGACAACTGACCGCAAAATCCACAAAACTATGAAGTTGAGAATTACGTTTTTAAAGTTTTCAGGCTAAGAGGCACATTTCATTTGGTATGTTCTATTAATTCATTTTATGCAATTTGAAATGTCCTTAAATACAAACCCTTTTCAGGCTCAAACAGTTAACTTTTCCTTTCTGACATGACTGCATGCCCTACAATACTGTAAATATGAATAATACACATTGCATGTACACTGACTCGGATTTTGAGTCCTCCATGAATCCAAGCAAACCCTCAAACACAAGGATGCCACTTCCACTCCATATCATGACATCTTCGCCATCCCTCCGCCTGCAGTGATATAACCTCAGAGTGGTGATCCTCTCTCTGTACCCGTCCCAGAAGGAGCTCGGGGACAGGAGGCCTCTCCCCAGATTAGCGTCAGAGGAGGAGCAGGACCGGGACACGGTGGCCTGCATGAGAGAATCCCACCTGGGCATCGAGCGTAAATGTTCCAGCATGACGGTGAGCTCCACGTCGAGCCTGGAGGCGGAGGTGGACTTCACCGTCCTGATGGACCTCCACTCCGGATCCGAAGACTTCTCTAAGGGCACGTCGGAGCACGGAGAGCGGGGCAGGCAGCCTGAGGTGTGCCGGGAAGATTTTGAAGAGACCTCCAGGTTCTACTCTGCCCGTCTGATGGGCTCCCGGGACAAGTCTCCCATAGAGGAGGGAACACATCACGAGGTAGACTGATGAACATACTGTGGAGGAAATGTGTATTTGATCCCCTGCAGATTTTGTAAGTTTGCCCACTTATAAAGAAATGTACAGTCTATAATTGTAATGGTAGGTTTATATAAACAGAGTAAGAATATCAAAAAGAAAATCCTTAAAAATAGAAATGTCTTTGTAAGTGGGTAAACTTACAAAATCTGCAGGGGATCAAATACTTATTTCCTCCACTGAATTCGTCCTTCATCATCATCTTCATCATCCCCCGCTGGATTCACCCTGCGTTGCTGGACTTGGTGCCATAACTACGGCAGCTTTTTATATTATTTGTTGTGGTTGTTGTATCATTTTCCATTGTTTGCATTTTATCACGTCTGTTTATTTTGGTTCCTCGCTCTACTTTTTTTGTTCTCCTTGTATTTTGATTTATGAATTCTTCGCACATTTTATTTGTGTCTTTCTAGTGGATTTTCCCTGTTGTTTCACCATCATTTGCATGATTCCATTAAACCAAACAATCCAATAAAAGCAAAGTATTTTAAGTGTTTGTTCCTTTAAGTAAACATTGTTGAAATGCTTTGTTTTGAAAAATACGCTCTCTGCAAGAATTGCATCATTTTCTTGCTAACAAATGATGACTTAACTCTACTGTTGTCGTTTCACACAGCCTCCCGTGGCAAAGAAAGAAGCCAGTGCTGTGAGTGCGGCCCACATCATGAAGAGGGCTGATAGCAAGAAGGAGACACACACAAATGGATCAGAGGCCCACTCCAACATCATGAATGCCTCACCGCAGGTAAATAAACAATCAGAATATTAGCAAAGCTAATTTATTGCCATAAAAAGAGCTGCATAATTCATGAATCTGCACATTGCACGTACTCAATAATAGCTCCACTGTTCCATCCTTTAGTGACATTATCTTGCATAATCCTGTTAGAAAATCTAAAAATCTAAATACTTGCGGTAATTACATTAATATTCTGTGATTAATCATGATTAATGACCCTATACCCGTCAGATGAGATGGGCAATCACGCTCATTTGTCATTTCCATTTTGAAAGGAGTTTCTAAAGCAAGAAACCCCTTTCACATCCCCCTTTGTGCATCTCCTAAACGTACTACATTAGTTATATCTTGTAGGTTTCTCCGTTCAGAGGAAAGTATGTGTTGGACAATTTCGTTGGGCCGATAAAGTGTCGTTTGACACTTTTTTTCTGCGTGCTGGCTGTAGTTTTTTCATTTATCCAACTGACACTGGTATGGGTCAACTTGATCAACATGACACAAGCCCATTTGTATGACAATCCTTTCCCACAAACACAAACAACCAGTACTCTGTTGGTCAATCGCTCTGAAAATACACACTTTCGTACCACAATGGCAAAGGCTGCTTCTCTGCCTCTGATTGGCTAGTACTCGCTGCCTTCTTCTGTGGTTTTGTTAGTTAGGTCAAAGCTTGAGTTGATACCTATGGTTGATACTAATACAGTGTGTAATTTAGGAGCTGTGAGCCTTCGGAACAATGGCTTTTTGAGTCTGGGTAACAGGCTTATGGAAAATGTCGATCAAATGGGATGTTTTCCAGACTATTGAGTGTTTACAACAATTGTGTGGCTGCCCTTTTATTTTGATTGTTTTTTTTATGTAGCCTACATCATATTTTAAATATCAATGCTGAAGCTAAGGTATTAGCAGAAAGGAAGGACAATACTCGCCACAGGACACAAACACCAGACTTGTAAAATGTTTTTCAGAGCTTTGTAGTCAGTTTTGATTAGAGGAAGACGCATGTTCCCTGGGCTCTGGTCGAATGAAGCCCAAATTCCCCAGACAGGGAGGACATAATAGCATCATCATGGAGTGATTAAAGTATTGACAGTGTATTAATGAGGATGATGAAAGCAGGTGTGAATCCCATTCATCTCCGGAGACAAAGCTTTGAGTGCCCGCCGACTGTCCCACAGGTGCCTTATTAAAATGCAATCATTGCGCGGCTCACAATGCGGCTAATGGTGTGCGGGAACTCAGGCATCGATTTAGACTGGGGGCCTTTTGAAGTGTCAGATCAGTGTTGAGTCCAATTTCAAAGATGCCAGAGTGAGACGTCTTTGGAGGGGTGGAATAAAAAGTGTGTGTGTCTGTGCACCTGCAGCAAATGGAGGATGACATCATGGATAGGCAGACAAAGATCTACAGCAGTGACTCTGTTGAGCCAGGAGAGGGCGCTGTGTCATGTTTTCTGAGGCTCAACAGCAGCACAAAGGCTGGATGATGCCAACTGGCTGCATGACAATGACAGCCTCTGAATTTGGGCAGCGTTACCACCAGACCGCAGTAAAAGCAATCTTTTCATCTTGAGGATTACCTCGATATACACTCAAGGAGTTTGGACATGCTGATATTGGTTTGATTGACACTCATGGCTATGAAATGTGTTGTCAATAAAGCCTTGTCTCTTACATAATGCTCAAGAGATTATACCTATGAGTATCTTGGGGGTGTTTTGACTTTATTACTTGGAGTAGTTTGCTAACCTGTTAAGCCCCAAGGTCCCCGCCGGCGGGACACTGTGTCTCAGGGGATCTTAATATTTAAGAACCTATTAATGTGTTATACCAGATTAACGGAAATAATCTCAGCTAACTGACGATATAAACCATATTTACCAAAACAAAACACAAGTCTCATAAGAAGCATCTAAATGACCCCTTAGCGAAAAATGCTAACGGACATTGTCACAGAACTCAAGAAGTACCCTTATTACTTATCGTAGCTGCACATACAAGATATCCGATTAAAGCTGAGGTTCCACAGATTATTTAGGTATATAGTATCATCACTGAGTGATCCGAACTTGCGACAGGGGAAGCAAACACAGACATCACAACACGTACCTTTACGTAGCTTCTAGGGAGATCGTCTCACCGTAGCTGTTAATCTGATCAAATGACGTGTTCAATGGCATTAAAACGAGAAAAAACGCGGCTGAATCGGTTAATCCATAGGTTGATAAAGTTTCTGGGCAATAATTTGAATTATTTATAATCCATAATTCAAATTGCAGAGCAAAAGTTTGCTGCTAATGGTAGCCACCAGAGTGTCTGCTGCTTCCGGTCTTGGTTATGCGGCAGTATAATACACACACATGACCAAATAAGGTGGGAGTTCCCCTCGATTCCATTGGCTCTGACGGTTAGAAAGAGATGGCTGTTTTGCATCAATCTTGATACAGGGTACTTATTATATGTTGTACTTTGGATTCCTAAAGCTTTTAGTCTACTAACCCATCATCCAAGGTTAGTTTTCACTATAAGTACAAAATATATTTTGGACGGACACAATAATTGACAGTTTTTTACCATGTTCAATCTGAATTTTCTTTAAAATAAAAAACATCTATATTGAATCTGACTTTTCTACATCCAACTGACAGGTTTATCATTACTTTGAGAAAAAAGATTATTAATTTAACCCTTTTAGAAGGGAAGATATGGTCATTTGTTCTGGGAATGTCATTTTCGAGCCTGAAACCTGAAAAACAGGCTCGGGGTAACAATAAAATTAGACGAGGTAATAGATGTGGATTCAATAGGCTAAATACAATTAATTAGAAGCATTGCAGTTGCTCTAAAATGAGACTTTCCTTTTTTATAAAATCGTTTCAGATGTTGACTGGCTTGTTAATAACCTAGGCAGCGGAAAACAAATGTTTAGTTTATCTGATTTTAGTATGTGAGTTGGCAGTTATAGGTACCGTCCGCCTTAACTGCTCTTTGCCGTGTTATTGACAGTGCAGTTTAGTTGTTTACTGACTTAATAACTCCACATTTTAGCATGTCACAGATAACCTTTCCAGTGTTTTGAGCAAAAATAAATTGCAAGTAAACAAACTAAACCCAGTGCTGGAAGACTCAAGTACGTACTGTGCAAATTTAGTCATACTTTACTTGAGTATTTCAATATTTTTATAACTTTTTACTTCCTTTCCACTATATCTCAGAGGGAAATATTGCCCTTTTTATTCTACTGCAATAATCTGACAACTTTAATTTCAATTTAGGTCAATATTTACCATGTAAATATCAGTTAAAAGTTTCAATTTGATTATTTTGAATACAACTTTATTAGGTTAGTTCAAATTAACCCTATCTTGACATCATTCAAAAGCTACTTGGATAAATATTATTCCAATAAAATATATATATATAATATTCTAATTTACATAAGTAAGTATATATTTTTATTCTAATTATTCTGTACTTTTACTAGTAAGAGTTTGTACACGGTAATTTAAATTGCAATGGAGTATTTTTATACTGCGGATAAACTTTACTGAATAAAAGGTGTCAATATCTCTCCCACCGCACACTGAAGCTCACCCACAGACATGTTGTTTCCTGCTTGTGCTTCCATAGACAGGCATTGTGGCTTTTCACCACAGGTACATCTAATGACATTAACGACGGCTCCTCTGAACCCTGTCAGTGAGCCAGCATCACCATCAATAACACTTTGTCACGGCAGACATTTTGGCTCATCATGGCAGTGAAAGCCCAGGTGAAACAAATGTCATTAAGGTGCACTTCGTTTAGTGTCTCAGTGAGCCATGAGTGTGAGCCAGCATCCACAGTAGACCTTTTCTCACACAGGTCACAGTAGGTAGGCAAAGGTGTAGATATTGAAATTATTGATGGCTGAATTCTATTTGGCTGCTTTGATTTCAGGTATGCGTGCTCTCTGTTACTTTCACCGAGGCACTTGAAAGAAAATAGACAATGCCTGCTGTGAAAAAAGTAACTGGTGTGCAGTCATTATTAAAGTTATGCTTGTGTGTAAACATGATATAATTGAGATTAGAGTCAAATCCAATCAGACAGTGCAATACTGAATAGTGGTGTTGATGCTTCTGTTGATGCTTACTTTTCTCCCACAATGCAATGTAATCTTACTTGATACATGTAATGTGTCTTTCTAAAGTTGAATCAAGCCCCCAGGAAGTGCGACAGACTTTTATGCAAAACTTTACAGTGGCCAAACGGTGGTACTACAACTTCTGTGTCAATCCGTGACTTCATTGGGCCCACAAAATACTTTTTCCCATTGACTTACATTAGGAAATAAATGTCTGTGAATGAGCGGATACTTTTGTTTAAAACTGAATCAACTTATTTAAATCATTAGGGTTTAAAAGTTGTAAAACGTGCTAAAAGACAAATTAGTTAGTTATTTTGAAGTGTCCTTGGGCAAGATATTTTTAACACTGTAACAAGTTCCCAAAACCAATCGCGGTGCCATTAATGAGCCTTCCCTCACTCACCTGGAGGCTGAACACATCTCAGTTCTCGCACGTCTTGAATACTTACCAGAACTTTCCTCCATTGAGCCTGTTTGGGATGCTCAGGATTAGTGTGCCCAACACTAATTCCAATTCCTGCCAATAACCAGTTACTTTGCACAGCCATTAACCACTCCACAGGCCATAATAAACAACCTGATGAACTCCATTTTGTAGCACTGCATGTGGTCACACCAGATGACTGACTTTTTGTGTTGTTTTCAGGCTAAGAAATTCATTTCTGTAGCCCGAGTCATGTGAAATCCCAATCAATGTCTTCTGAGATTAAACTGCACATTTTAGATTAGCCTTTATTGTGAGCAGCCCAAGGCACTCCTGTGTAATTATTACGCTTTTAATCAGCATCTTGATAAGCTGCTCCTGTCAGTAGATGGATCATCGTGGCAAATGAAACACTCTAAAGTAGAGAGTATCATGTCTTGTGTGTGCATAGCAACTCAACAAAAAATGGGAGCAAAAACAAAGTGTTCATATTTTCAGCGTAAAGCCATTGTGTCTGCCTTATAACTAATCACTGATGTCTTTAATATTCTGATTGAAGTAATGCTTCTTTGATCCCCTATTGTATTTCTTTAATGTCGCTTGACTTTCGTCATCTTAAGAATTTAATAAAGACTCTGCCCACACACGTCTGTTTCTCTCTCCTTCAGAACCACGGAGGCGTCAGCCCGAGGGAGGCTCCTGCTGCCCTGAAAGAAAATGGCTCGCCTGTAAGTATCTCACAGAAGAAATACATCTGTGTGTGTGTGTGTGTGTATGTGTGTGTGTGTGTGTGTGTGTGTGTGTGTGTGTGTGTGTGTGTGTGTGTGTGTGTGCACAGCAGATAAATAAACGTTGTGCCATTGTGCTGCCGCTGTCTCCCTTTGTGACCTTGACCTTTACTTCATATCCTTCTGCAAAATTGTAAAAATGTTATGTGTGTGTGAGAGCCAATTGTTGACAGGACGTTGCTATAATACTTGTATTTGATATCATCAAAATGTCTCAGTTTTATGAGACAGAAGATGTGGATGTCAATATTTTAGATGAATTTGTGCTACTACTAGTGTTGGCAATAACAATGTTATATTTGTTCGCTTTTATTACGGGGCAATAGCTAAAATTTAACAGAAAAGTATGTGCAGCAAACCTGTGTGTGGTGCCTTGAAGGTAGAGCTACCATTATTTGAATTATTTTGATAAATGTTTAATAGTTAAGGTTACTTTTCATGTGAAGCATTTAGAAAATGCTGTTTTCAACCTCTCACATATGGATATTTCCAGCTTTTCCCGTTTTCTTTTATCATATTAAAATGAATATCTTTCGGTTTAGGTCTGATGAAACAAGACATTTAAAGAGGCCCTATTACACTCTTCCTGTGGTTTGTTATATCGGTATTGTCTGGAAAAGCTCAAATCCCCTCCTGAAACGCTCCCATTGGAATCCTTTGTTTACTATCAGGACATAGTGACATAATTCTCGCTCAACCACATTGTACGTGATAGGCTAAGGGGCGGGACATCTCTAAGCGGTTGACCAATCACAACAGAGCCGGCCAGCTAACCAACCAGAGCAGACTGGGCTCTGGTTTCAGACAGAGGGTGAAAAGAGGTGCTGCAGCACAGGCAGTATGAGAAGATAAAGAGCTTTTTGAACATTAAAGCAAGGAGACATGTCACAGGAGAGGCACAGAATACTTATATGAAACTGAAAAAGAACAGAATAGGGCCCCTTTAAAGTCATCATTGTGTGTGTGTGTCTGCAGTGTGTTCCTCAACGTGTGTGTTGCCCCTCTAAAATACTCCACAGGTAAAAGCTGCGACCCAGGAGAGGGACTCTGTCGTTTCCCCGCTGACCATCACAGCTGAGAGCGTCACCACAGCAACCACAACTCAAGTTACCAAGGTAACACCTTATCTGTTCCCATGGTTACAGTCTAATGTCTGGAGCTTGGAGTTAGCCAACAACCAATCACAATCAAATGATCCCTTCATTACAATGTCAGCCTTTAAGGGCAATTTTAATGAATTAGCTTTTGTTTATTTCACACTATTGATCACTTGTTGTGGGAATAGGTGACCAAATAACACTAAAAGATTTTTTTTCATTAAAAATGATGCATAAGAGAACAATCTATATGTTGTTACACAATTTAATGTAATGACATTGTATGAAAAAAAACTGTCTTTACTGAGACAATAGATACGAAATTATGTATTATATGTTATTGAATGATAAGCTTGATTAAACATGTCATCCATTTTTTTATTCTTTCTATCTGAATACTTTTGGCAGACTGTGAAAGGAGGTTACTCAGAGACAAGAATCGAGAAGAGGATAATAATCACAGGAGACGACGATGTGGACCAGCATCAGGTGAGGAGGAGTGTAACAGAGATAATGCACAATTGCACTGTGCCTAAAGTCACGAGGCAAATGAAGCTATAATGTGAGGTTTCTGACCCCTGTGTGGATGCTTCGTGTCCCCAGGCCCTCGCCATGGCCATCCAGGAGGCCAAGCAGCAGCACCCTGACATGCTGGTGACAAAAGCTGTGGTTATCAGGGAAACAGATTCTCCTACTGAGGAGATGCAGCAGCACTCAGAGGTGTGTGACCCCTACAGTGTTCACAGTCTGGTCATGTGATCAGAGTGCAGGTTACTAGATTACTACGCTTTGTTTGCCTGGTTAGATTGCTGAATGGGTTTACTGGACATAGGCCCTCGGACCAGAGGGGACAGAGGGACCCTCGCCCAGAACCTCTGCTTTATGTGGGTGCTAACATTTCATGTAAGAATGTGAATGAAGTGATTACCTTGGGCAGCAAAACAACTACAGAGAGAAGCAAGATAATTACAAAGAGACATGAAAGCCTATGAGGAGACACCATATTCTTACAGATATTCAAAAGATGTAGAAATAGGAATAAAACAGTGACAAAGACACATAATGACAACAAAGACATGTGAATGACCAGAAAGACACAAAACACGTACAAGGTGTTACAAATACATTAAAAAGAGGACACACAATGAACACAGAGACACCGAAGAAGTACAAAGAGACTACAAATACACACAAAACAACTACAAGAAGAAATGCAATTACCACAAAACGATAATAAGGAGAATCATAACTTGTACAAGGAAACAAAGAGAATACAAAGGGTCACAAAACAACTGCACCAATACAAAATGACTTAGAGTGGTACCGGAAAGAGAGGGTAGGGGGCTTCAAATACAAACAATAAATAAGTGAGATTCTGGGCCATGCTTGGCACAACACAATGACAAAGACATGCAAAAAGACCTCATATGCCCCTTTCACACCAACGCGTTTTCAGCTCCGGCTCGGAGCTGGAGCCTGAAAAGTACCGGTTTTTCCTGTTCACACCGCAGCGGTGCCGGCTCTTAGCTCCGAAATCCGGTTCACTTCCAGCTCCAATTAATGTGTGGTCGAGAGGCAAGAGCTTCGGAGCTAAGAGGCGGCGTCGCTTACGTCGAGGCGTGCAGGAAACTAAACCCACCTCCCCGTGCAAACGGTGTCCACCAAAAGTCGAGTCCAGTGTCTATGTGTCATNAGAGGCAAGAGCTTCGGAGCTAAGAGGCGGCGTCGCTTACGTCGAGGCGTGCAGGAAACTAAACCCACCTCCCCTGAACATGGGTCGACTGAAGAGTCTCGTCATGCCTGCCTACAAGCAGTAGTGCTGAGCAAAGTGACTAGAAGGCAACCACACACTTATAATAAGAAACACACTTTATAAAGTCAGGCAACACTAACCAGGCTTCGTGTGATTCTGTTTATTTGCACCTTACTTTGACCATCCGTTCACTGTTATTGATCATTGTGGAGAGAGGCAGACGTTTTGTTTTNGAGAGGCCGCTCTAAAGTATTAGCTAACCCGGAGCTAACGGGAGAATAAACTCCCGTGGAAGAGCAGCCAGCACTGCAGCGGTCGGTAAATGCCGCTGAAACACATGAATAAACAATGAACCACGGCACTCTGGAGAAAAGTATAAGCTTGGAGAAGTCGTTATTTAATTTAATCTGACTTCGTATGATTAAAAGCAACACGATCATCGACACAACGTAGTCCCCCGTTGTTGTTGTTGTTGTGAGCGGGGAGCAAATCAGCGATGTAAACGGTTACGTCATGACGCAGCAGCGGCTGCACCAGTCGGGCTCTGGGTGGTGTGAACAGAGCGGGAGCAGAAAAGGGAAACCGGAGCTGAACCAGAAAAGCTCGAGCTCGGAGCTAGAAAGGGAAAAGCGCTGGTGTGAAAGCCGCAATAGAGACACAAAACGACTACAAGGACACACAAACCATGTTCAAGGAGGCACACAAATACTTAAATAGATGCAACATGACCTTTATAGAGACACATAACAACTGCCACATGAGACACAATGACTGCAATGATTCAAAATGGCTTGAAGTGACACAACAAAAAAGTTACTAAAAAGACCACACACTTTTAATCTAGTGTCTAATCTATGTGGGAGTAGTCTTTCAGTGTGTGTGTACAGACGGACGGATCGAAATACCGTTTCCCACAATCCCGAATACAAAAACATATATATATAAAAATATGTATGCAAATATGTATAAACCGATATATACAATCGAATACACATTTATACATATGCACACATTAAGACCTAAATAAAAGCACAATAATCAATATATACAAAATAACAGTCACTTCAATATCTTTGAGAATGTGCATTGGTGAAGAGCCTTTCCACCTCTCATCTCCCTCCATGTTTGTGTGTGATGACTGATGTTGATGTCTCTGTTGCAGTCCTGATCGGCCGTGAAGGCTCCTGAGACGGGGGGGACAGGAGAGGGTCCTGTTTGTCCCCTGGCCCACCACGCAGATACCAGGACCCTCCAACCCGCCTGTGTAAAAACACCAACACAAGAACAGTTCCTCCTCCACTCCTGTACCCTTTAGACGGACCAACTGTGACACCGCTTGTGACCCAACCCGACCCTCCACCACTTTAGGGAACTGGAAGAATCTACTATTGGATGATTTACCAATTGGTTCATCAAGTCACGGCTGTTATACTTCAGCTCTGTTGTCGACAAAAAACGTAGTTGCATTTGATTTCATCTTGATATTTGAATCAATGAGTTTTCAACCTCCAACCCAATTCCCTCACAAATGGCTTCTGTCACATATGAAAGGTATAACAGCATGGATAAGAGAATTGGATACCAAAACAGACTTGACTCGAGAACAGAAATACTCTGATCATCCATGGATCTTATAGCGATCTTCCGGCATTCTTCCGCATCCCCATTTTACAACTTCTAGGCCCTACTTATTTATATTGATTTATCGATAAGGGCTATTCAGTGTTTGTCCTGTTTTTATTTACTTACTTACTAAAATCCCAATGTAAGTCAATGAGGGCCAAAATGACATCACGGACTGACAATGTAGTACCACCGTTTGGCCACTAGGACATTTGCTTCCACGCCTGGTCGCTTCTTGTATTAGAGCAGAGGGAAATGATGGAGACAATGCTGGTGGTGGGGTGAGGCGGGGAGGGTGGTGTCAGGCGGCCTTTTTGCTCGACGTCGCCACCTCCTGGCTGTGACCTTCAGTATAATCAACTGCTGTCTTATTAGCTTTTTACATTTTTATCTATAGAGGATCTAATTTATGTCCAGTGTTTGCTTGTTTATGAAATATGTATAATATCAGATAACGATAATCTGCATGATTCAATAAAAAAAATAGCAGAGGGAATGAAAAAAAGAAACCACTTGTCCACATTTGAAATCCATAGAAAGATAATGGGACTGAACTGTAAAAATCCCTTGATGGACACATGGAGGAGACGGACAGTTGTGTAACACTTCAGTGGACAGCTGGGTCAAACACACATCACTGTCCTCGTCACATTCAACGTTCCCGCTTTCATTTTGACGTCTATTTGCCAGCTACACTGAGAAATGCTGGTCACATGTTTTGGGCAAAGTTAAAGGATTTTTAAAGATATTTTAATATAAATACTGTTTTATCTAATATGTGTTGATACGTCCTAATTTGCTTTTACTGACTTCCATCTGGAAACAGAGACTGTAATGTTATTCTTGTGCTTTTGGACGTTTTAGTGTTGATGTGTGAGACATACGGAGGGGATTTAGGTGCCAGAACAAAACAGAGAAGTTTTTTATTCATTGACAATTAGCATTTTTAGAATCAACTTAGTGGTTGAAATGTTGAGAAACTCGAAAAGTCAAAGACAAACTTTGAAAAGTCAAAACAACTAATAAATCAAAGATTCTGGCGTTGAATACATAATTAAAATCTTGACTTTATTCTGGAATTTTAAAACTTCCTCCTCATTTCCCCCTTGGCCCTTATATTCTACTCTTCTGTAGAAACCTCTTTATTTAAGAGCTTAATTAAAAGTTGCGTTTCACTGGAGAACCTACAAAGTTAATCACAGACCCAAAACTTGTAAAAATTGTGAAGTTGTGAATGAGAAATGCATTGAATTTGGTTGCTTATAATAGCAGCTTTTAAACACCAAAATAAATGTATGTTACAGTTGGATCCATTACAAATCCACACTGCCTAAAACGTTCAAAACCACAAGAATAACAAGGGTACTTTTTTTGTGTTCAGTTGGATTAACTCTCTTTAAGTTATGGTGTATGAGTTGTAATGTATTTATAGGAGTGGTGAATGTGAGGCCTGTACTTGTTCTCCCTGTTCCCCCGACAGACAAAGCCAAGACTTCATAGTGTGACCTAAACGAAGCGCCGTCTAACCCCGTTGGCTGTCACACAACTAGGGTTGCAAAATTCCGGGAAATTTCAAAGATGGAAACTTTAACGGGAATTTATGGGAATAAACTGGGAATTTTCTAAATTGAAAGTTGGCTC